GTACAAGCTAAAAGCCCCTATTATGAGACCTAGAGTTACTGTATATACAGTAACCGTATTGTATATACAGCAACTCTAGTTTATATAAAGTAACTCTACATATAGTGAGTCCAGTCGAGGGGCGCCGTGGTGCTGTCGATACCATTACGCGGGGTTGTGGCGCCCTCTTTTTGCTGCAGATGCGGCGGCCACGTCAAAACTAAAGACCCGCAGAAGCAAGGCTTATAGCCGAGAAACTCGAAAAACGGCGACAGGTAATGGTCAGAAACCACAGACAAGAACACGGGACATGCCCCGCCGCAGTGGTCTAGTGGCTAAGGTACTCGGCTGCTGACCCGCAGGTCGCGGGTCGATTCCCGGCTGCGGCGGCTGCATTTCCGATGGAGGCGGAAATGTTGTAGGCCCGTGTACTCAGATTTGGGTGCACGTTAAAGAACCCCAGGTGGTCAAAATTTCCGGAGCCCTTCACTACGGCGTCTCTCATAATCAAATGGTGGTTTTAGGACGTTAAACCCCACATATCAATCATCAAGAACACGGGACATACATACACACAAGTCTGCACCAGACGCACGCCCTTTATAGTGGCAGATAATTCGGGACATTTCTTTGGCAATGCCCCGCGACGACGCGGTAAAAGTGGTGTGATATGCCAGCGTGCCTCAAGTCCAGGGCATAAAAGCAGTGCTGGGATCGACCACGCCGAGAAATGAGGCTAGGTTCGAGCATCAGCGGTGCTTCCATTTGCGATGGAACGCAAAGCCACTTCATCCCTGCCTGTATACGTGAGCTACGAGGCAACGAGACATTTTACGTGTCTTTGCTTCGATAGTTCATAACCATGCACAGAACAAACGTGACGGACTACGAAAGACACCAATTAATGCAAGCAAGATACAGTGTGCTGGCAGCGTCTACAAACGAACTGTAAAGTAGCGTTTGAAATCATCCCAAAGCCTCGTTTACAAATAGCTAATCGCCATATACGAGATTCGTTACAATACATATTGAGACTTTATGAATTCGTGTACTGCAGCTTAGGAAAAACAAAATCTACATCCCTCTCCGCTTCGTGCTCGGTCTGTACGACTACAAGTATTGATGTCGATTTCTAGAACACATTGCAGAGTTACTGTAACGACATAAATTATATTAACCCGACACTTAGGCTCCAAGTTTGCGCTCGCGGCCGCCATAGGCATAAGTTGCTTCCATTAAATATGCTTTGAATTGGTGATCACTTCGAAGTGTCTTATGGCGAACCTCATACTGCTTACACTTTACATAACGCTACACGGGAAGTTTGTTGAAGGGCTATAGTTGGTACGCACATGCGCATCACCTATACGAAAAAAACCGATACTTTTCATTTTTCTTTTATGCGTGGCATTGCTAACTTCAAGCGTGGTTTTCCTTTTTTAATCTCCACAAGAATAAGTCAAGCTTCTCGGCTTGGCCATTATAAGTCAAGTATGCAAGTTAAACAGAAGCGGCGCTTTCTCGCTAGACACGCTGAATAAGCGATTTCTCCAACTTTCAATACCGCTAAACAGAAGTGCTCCAGTCGGTGTCGCGCTTTATTCTGGAGGTTTCCGTTTTGCTCCCCGTACCGCCCTACCATTGAGACAACTTTAGCGATTTCTCCCACGGAAAACAAAACCCCCCACCGGCATAGTAAACATAAAAAGATTAATTTTAACATAATATTTCGATGTAAGGATGCCATGTGCCCATTTCACCAATTTCGTGATACACTCAAACCTCAATATAACGAACATAGATATAACGAAACATCGCTTATAACATAGTACACGAAAAATAGTTTTGCATTAGATAACAGTGTAAGTAAAAACCTTTATAAAAATTTTCGTATATAAAAACCTATCTCCTTACAAGATGCAACTCCATCACAATGAAATTCGAGTGTATATTGAAGTTTAACTGCAATCGAGTATAATGACTTCATTGAAGTCTTTTACAGCTAAATATTTCACTAAAAACAATAAACTTGCACAGCAATACAATGCACCTATAAGCGTTTCTGATAAGCGCTTCTTGCCAAGATGCTCTCAGCTTGGCTGCAGAACAACGATGAAGCGAAGTGGACGCACAGCCAAGCTCCGCTGAAGATGTTTGGCCTACGGTGGAGCGAGAGACGGTATATAAAGGCGCACCAAATGCAAATATTAAGTCGACGTCGATTGCTGAATAAATGCATAAAAATAAAATCGCGTTTCGGAGGTACGCACGGCGTTAGCGCACTTAAAATACCCGGGCCACCTGATGCCTTGCCCAACGTTGCCCGCCTCTACTGCGCGGTTGTCGGCACTAGTAGCGGCTGAGCAAAAGTAGTGGGAGCGAAAGCAGCAACAACAGTCATTGAAGCTTGGCGCGACCTATAACGACGAGACATGGCTCAATCGCGATTCTGCCTCAGAGGCATGACACTCAGCCACTTCGAGCATAGGGGTTCGCTTTGCAGCACCCAGTCGAAGGTCACAACGGTCTTTTTGCTGCAGCTCAAGCGGAGAATACCATTCTGGTATTCGGCAACATCCCATGCACGCGGAATTTTATCGAGCTTTCCGTCACAGGGGAGCACGAGGCGGTCAGTCCGATCACTCAGATACCTTTTTTTCTTTGAGCCACCAAAACTCTGCTATTCCGCATCCAATGCGAACGCCATGTTGCGGCGGTGCTAGTGTTGCAAGTCCCTTTAGAGTTACTGTATATTTACGTAACGCCTCCTCAAGAAAAATGCCTGCGACATCGCACGCTTTCCTATGGGGACGGGAGGTTCCTCGTAGTGCAGTGCTTTCTCCGCAAGGAGCGCTCGCAGCCGACACTACTACTTCCGCTCGATTCGGAAGTGACGCCATCACAAAAACACGACCGTGTTGCCTCCGAGACAGCAGTAGACATTGCTTTAAGTAGACATTGCTTTAAGTAGACATTGCTTTAAATAAGGTTTAAAGCAGCCGCCGGAGCGAGCGCTCGACGTCGCAACTGTTTGGGCAGCGGAGGAGGAGAGAACAGGAGAGGGCCCTGAACCTGCTTTTCAGCTCAAGTCGCAGGCATCTTTCTAGAGGAGGCGTTGATTTAGGTATAGCATATACAGTAACAGTAAGTCCCTCAGCTGGTGTACAAAAGCAGGGCCACGTGAGAGCGATATGTGCGCGAAAGCGCGAGATGCCTGCCTTCTAGGCCGCGCGGACAGCCAAGAGAGATGTGAAGGCCTGACCACACACACGTACCCGTTGCAGCATGTCAGAGCGTGGCTTCTTTGACGCGGCGCCGCTCATTCTCCCTGTAGAGAGAGAGAGGGCATGCTGCATCGCGTAGCTACGCGTCCTCTCTCTCACTTGGGAAAGGGCGCGGCGCCGCGTCAAAAAGCGACGCGCTGCAACGGGTGCTTGTGGTCATGGCCGGACTAGAGGCGCAGTCTAGCCCGGCCGTGTTGTGGCGAGGCCCTTAAGTCTGAACAGGCACACGCACTCGCCACATTAGACAGTTATAGTATACCGGGGCTTACTAGCATACCGGGCGTACCGCGATAGCGGGATCGAAGTGCGCGTGCGCAGACACGTACGTTACCCGTAACGCTTACCATACGCGCGCTATTTTTGAAATTTAGCGTTACCGTGGTAGCGTAGGTGTAAGTAGTGTACGTACAACACGACGGCGCTCTCGGACGCCCGCTTCGAAGTGATTTTGGCGTAGTTGTTGCAATATTCACTTTGTTCGCAGCAAACGACTGTTTAAAGTGGCTTCCTTTGCCTTCAGTTAGCTTTGATGAGCGGGCACTACGGATAAGTTGGCGTAGTTTTTGAGACCGCTTCCCATTTCGAACACGTCTAGGCCTAACTGCAGGATCGATGTAAACAAATCGGCAACATAAATGTTTTCGAGTTTGGTGCGTAGTTCATATTCATTTACTTTTCTTATTACTAAAATAAACTCGTAACAATGCTTCGCGCGGTGGCATAGGCAAACATTCCCGTTTTCTTTTCCTTTTCACTGTTCTCAAACTTATTAACCATCCGATAGGTGGCGCCACCATCCCAGCTGGGGCACGTAAACCACGTAAACGCTATCCCACTTAACCATAAGACGCTGTCCACAACGAACGTTTGCTGCACGATAACGACATTCCCTTAACCTCCGCTATCACGCTAACGGTAAACTGTCTATTGTAAAGCCAGCTCGGCCATTCCGCTTTCTATGTGAACGAGGCTTTACCGCTGCTCTCACGATCGTTCGGCGCACGCGCGTTACCGCTGCCATAGATAGTATAAAAAGTTAGGTAGGAACGGTGCGTAAGCGCTTGGTTTAATTTGTCTATTTTCTATATAAACGCAAAACACGACAGGCGCTTACTTCAATCCAAGCATTAACTTTCGCAGTGACGTTTTTTGAAATAATGTGACGGCGCTGTGAAACCTTGATGTTATGGAAACGACTTCACTGAACGGTGATAAATAAATTTTCTACATTTCCGGTCTAATAGTCTAGAGCACCGAAAGTAGCCTGCATGAAGAATTGTACGACACATTCCTTTGCGTCCAATCAGCTCTTCCGTCACTGACACAATATCAATTAAGAGACTCGGAAAGAGCGACAGGGAGGTGTGTTTAAGTGCCGCGTGATTAATGAATTAAATAAATGTCCAAAAAATACGCTCGTACTCTCACGGCATTGCAGGAAAAGGTCGTTCGTCCAGCCTATACCATACGAAACAGACCGAGCACAGAAGCGGCGGCCTTGCGGTGCCAGATGATAGGGCGAGCCCATGTGGCTATCTCTAGTTTTTTTTTTTTTTTTTTTTTTTACTGTACATTGGAAACAATGAGTGTGCCTCGGAGGCCGTGCGTCGAGTACGTCATCTCGGAGAGACCACGCCAACGACGAACGACCTTCAAGGCGTCGTTCGCGGCAAGATGGCCGCCACTCAAGGTGGAAGAGACGGCACAACGATACCGGTAGCAGTATATTTTTTTCTCTTTTTTAAGTTTTATTTTCGACAATATACCGCAAGCTTCGTACATCATCCAAGCTCCACATAGACCTTCTCAAGAATTACAGCCGTACACCACTTAGTGGCGTTAATAGAGCTATCTATTCACCAACGGCGCTTCGAGTTGAGCGCGATGTACGTGCTGTTGGAGTTGTCGATAGCGGCAGCAGAAGGTGTTCTATACAACTGGATAAGATTGCAAAACTCGCGCTGGAAGTGCGCCGAATTGCCTCACGAGTGCCAGAAAGCCCGGTCGGTTGCAGCTGAGTGAGCCCCGGGGGAGGAAACAGGATGCCTTACCCTGGAAAGAGACAGAAAAAGAAAAAAAAAGGTGACACAGTGGATGACACACACAAGCAATGATCTTTTCGCCGTCGAACACATCACCCAAGCACATCGAATAAACGTGCGCTACAAACAAACAAAAGCAAGAAATTGAAAAAAATGTGCTAATCGGTACGATGAATTTCGCTACGTTCACGGGAAACCAATTTTTTTCTGAAAACTGCCACTGCGTGGTGCACACTGCGGATATACACCAAGTTGGCGATTAGTAAACAATTAAGTCAATTGTGGCCCGCTAATTTAGCGCCTCAAAGTCCAACCGGTGGACCATGTTATGGTACACATACATACAGCAGAAGAAAAAAATAAAGATGCGCGCAGTTATATTGTGAAACACGAGAACGATATTTCCGAGACATAAAGTGGCCCGTGTTATGCGTGTATTCCCCGAAGAAAGGATATAGGCGACGCGGCGCTATGCCGCGAGCTATGTGCATGGAACGCATGGGCTCTGACCTTGCAGCGCTGACTGCGAGTAAAAAAGATTGCGCAACTCGAGCGCGCAACCGGGATAGATAATCACGGCAGAGTGGCTCGCTAGAAGACGAGGAAGTGGACGACTTGTCTCTCTCTCTCAATCTAGAACGCCTTGTCGTCGATAAGAAACGTAAGATAACACGTGGCTAGGCTGCTACCTTGCAATAAGAACAGAAGTGCACCGAGCAGAAAAGGGAGACAAGCGGCTGAATGCGTAAAACACGAACGCGGGACTTCGTCGCTAATGAGATAAATCCATGCGCCACTCTTTTAACAAGCACTACACGCACGCAGGCAAAAAGCGGTTAGAAGAGGGAAACCGCCTCCGGAAGATGCACGCAAGACCTCGGTGAATAAAAAACAAAACAAGTCGGTGCATATGCCTGTGTGCCCCCCCCCCCTAATGCGATGGCGGAAAAACGCCGCCAAGATGCTCGTTTAAAGAACTTCCGGTGCCCATCAAATGCACCGACCGCGTGTTCGCCACAAACCCGCCGCCTCCATTTACCGCACCTCTTCGGACGAGAACACAGAATGCTCGGAACGTAAAAATGTCGCAGTTCAATACACGCATTCGATTAGCGAAGCAAAGTTCTGCCTAGCCCCTACGAAGCCTGACACGGGCGTTGGAAACATGCGGCAACACGAGCTCTCGAATTGGCCACGCCGGATGATGTCGCACGTCGTCGTATTACCCTGTACCGGTCATGAATCACCACGAGTCACGCGAGTCTTGCCAACAACCGCCCACTCACCGAACATACAGAAAAGACAAGTGTCATTGCACTTTAGTAGACTGTCTTCCGATGAAAAGTTCGGTGCGGCAGCTTTCACGTTTACTGTGAGTCGTTCCCTACCTCAACCTCACTCCTCCTCCTCCCTCTCTCTCTCTCTCTCTCTCGCTTCAACTCCACGGCTACGCCACCCACGCTCGTCGCGACGATGGGCACAAAAGAGCAGAAGCGATGGGAAAAAAGCCCCTGTCGTAGCCGTCATTCACTGCTCGACGCCTGACCGAAATTTTTTTCGCAACCAGGAAATTTTCATGACCATCCAGGTCGGCAAACGAAAGTGGAACTCACTCGGACACACTCAAGAAATATATTTTGCACTTTGGAATCAGTCCCCCTGGCTCAGACTCGCCAAACTTTTCCTGAGACGTACCCACTCGGGCTTGCACTGACCAAAAATTTCTTCCTCTTGACTCACAGGGCCTAAAACGCATTAAAATATTACTGACTCGTACTCACGGCTCGATCCGAGTCGGAGTGAGTCTTGGTGAGTCGACTCATGAGCAAATTTTTCAACCTCTGTCCTTCACACATCATCACGAATTTACGAACAGCGAGCGTTCCGCTTGTACACCATGCACAGCTGAACGTCTGGCGATCGTGGGAATACACCTGTCGGCGCATTGTTGTCAGCCAGCAATACATCTTCCGCTTGTACGTCCACAGATAAACATCGTTTTGCATTGCCTCAAGACCATAACTGTGGCGGTTTGGGCGAGTTGGCAGGACATGATCAAGAATTGCGAAGCGCGCAAACATACGAACACCAAGAAGCACGCATGACATACAGGGGCCAACTTTCAAACACTTTATTGAAGCCTAGGGAACAAGTTTTTTGATCATCTGTTTGTGCGCTTACAATTTATCAATCAAGTTTGAGTGTCCAATCGGCAGACTTGAAAAGCAACTGCGTCAATAGGAGCCCAATGAATGACACACCTAATGGACTGCAGCAGTACAGCGTTCGCGCCAGGGCAAACATGACAAGACCTCTGTCAGGCGAAAACTACCAGAACTTTGATTTGATTGATTGATATGTGGGGTTTAACGTCCCAAAACCACTATATGATTATGAGAGACGCCGTAGTGGAGGGCTCCGGAAATTTAGACCACCTGGGGTTCTTTAACGTGCACCCAAATCTGAGTACACGGGCCTACAACATTTCCGCCTCCATCGGAAATGCAGCCGCCGCAGCCGGGATTCGAACCCGCGCCCTGCGGGTCAGCAGCCGAGTACCTTAGCCACTAGACCACCGCGGCGGGGCACCAGAATTTTGTGTATTTGCATTTCAAGCTTGAAAATTTCTGAATTCATGACTTTTCGAACAGCCAGGCACGACAGACGCCTAAACGCTGCTTAGGTGCAGCTAAACGTTGGACCTACGCAACCAAATTGTCCGAGTCTCGTTTGTTTGTTCTACATAGAAGCTTCTCAGTAGTGCGACATCCAGACGTTGCGTTTTTTTTTTTTTTGCACTAATCAGATTGCAATCCGTTCTTATTTCAGTTGTCCTGCCGCGGTAGTCTAGTGGCTAAGGTACTGGGCTGCTGACCCGCAGGTCACGGGATCAAATCGCGGCTTCGGCGGCTGCATCTTCGATGGAGGCGAAAATGCTGTAGGCCAGTGTGCTCAGATTTGGGTGCACGTTAAAACCCCCGGGTGGTCATAATTTCCGGCGTCCTCCACTACGGCGTCTCTCATAATTATATGGTGGTATGGGGACGTTAAGCCCCACATATCAATCATCATTTTCTTTTTGTATCTTGCTAACGCTTCACAATGATGCAGTATAGCAGCACCTACGCATTTCATCCCGCAGACAGTGCCGATTCCACGCTCGGCACACCCAAGGACTTAAAGCTCGAAATTTAACTGTGGATGCTTCCTTTGTCCGCGGCCCCGCCGCGGTGGTCTAGTGGCTAAGGTACTCGGCTGCTGACCCGCAGGGCGCGGGTTCGAATCCCGGCTGCGGCGGCTGCATTTCCGATGGAGGCGGAAATGTTGCAGGCCCGTGTGCTCAGATTTGGGTGCACGTTAAAGAACCCCAGGTGGTCGAAATTTCCGGAGCCCTCCACTACGGCGTCTCATAATCATATAGTGGTTTTGGGACGTTAAACCCCACATATCAATCAATCAATCCTTTGTCCGCGACTGCAAAGGAGGCTTAGCTCGTTGCACCAGCGGCGGCGCGCCGGTGCGGCACAGAAACCAGGTCCATTCTTTGTTGTCGTAAATTAAGTGGCCGCTCTCTGTGGCGCCGCTAGTTGGCGCGCGAGTCGTGTCCCGACGTGAACCTCAAATCAGATACAGCGGTAATAGAACGGCCATCTTTGCATGCATGGCGGCGTATAAATGGTACTCGTGCAAAGAGCGACACACCGAGTGGGCACTGCTATTCCGTCCAGCTCGGCAGGCGCGGAGACCCTTCTCGGTGCAAATGTATTCACAGCGGAGCTTCTTGCTTTGCGCTAGTTTCTTGCCGTCTCGTTGTCCCCTTCTCCCATTTGGCACACCCACTCTCCCGCCGCACGACGACCAGCCGCTCAGCTGGGCGAGCGCGGCTCTCGTTATCTCGCGGATCGTAAATAATCCGCGTAATAGGACGAGGCAAACTCCATTCTTATCGAACGCTGACCTCCCCGCCGATGGCCGAGCGCACGAATAGAGAACAGAGGAGGAGGGGGACAAGGCGTGCAGCGAGTCCATTTTTAAAAGGCCACTCGTTAACAGCCCCTCCCCCTCCACTCTCGCGAGTCCAGTGAGGCGAAAGAAGAAGAAACAAACGGTATACTAGCCAGGAAACAAGCAACAAGCAGAACAGGCAGAAAATAAGCAATAGCGGCCAGGAGGAGGAGGGAGCTTTCATCATCCTCAGCGGCAGGTCTGCTCTCTCCGCACGACAGGAGACTCGTAATAACAATGATGTCGACGCATTCCCGCTTCCTCCTCTCGCTCCTCCGTAAGAGAGAGTGCAACTACGCCGCATGGTGCGACCCTGCTTCCTATTCGGTGCCCCCCCCCCCCCCCTCTCGCCATTGTCGATGAGCCTGCAGAGGAGAACTAGCCGGCCAGAGCCGTCATCGCAGTTGGCTGCCAGTTGGCTATTCGAGTTATCTAGATGAGTATAATTGCTTTTCTTCCTTCGTCAGCCATCGTAGACATCAGCACCAACTCTATCTCTCTCTCTCTATCTTCTTTTGGCTGCTATTTACCCCGCACCACGTTAGATATGCGCGGCACCTCTTAGTAACGAACATAAAGACATTAAGATACCTACGAACAACCAGGTCTGAAACATTTGATTTTTTTTTCACCACAAAGTGCTTCAAATTATTTTTTTTTTCGGAGAAGCTAGGTGGCGTATTGCGACGCTAGCCATTAACTCGGGTGCGATCAGGTATGAAGCTTTTCAAAGTATTAAGTGTGCGAGTCACCGCCCCCCCCCTCCCCTTCATCACACAAATGCAAGTGGCGAAGTGACCGATGGCGATATGCATTGCACCAGCGGGGGGGGGGGGGGGGGGGGGGACATTTGCTGAAGACCTTGGCTATTTGAAAAATAAACCTTTTTTATTATTTTCCGTAAACCACCCATCCATTACTCCAAAAAGATTTCCGAGGGCGAGAAGGGTCATGGCACCCCCCCCCCCCCCCCCCCCGCTACGTTCCTGGCAGGTGAATCGCAGC